TGTGACTTTGCAATTAAGGACAAACGGTGCCACAGTTTCCATGAGCACGAGTTACCTTTCCCCAGATTACTCTGGTTTTGTTCGGTTTGCTACCAGCAGTCACTGTGTTGTTCTTTGCTTTGTACACATCTCCTGCTTAGATAGAATTGTTTCATCTCAAGCATAAACACCTTCAGTTTTAAGAAGAGTTGTGTGCCCCCTCTTGTTCCTGAGACCTCCCCCCATTATAGCCTGCAAAAATGGCCTTTCCTTGCATACATTTTGTCATTTAATCCTTCAAAAACAATATTCCTTCAAAGACCACAGTCTTCCAGACATATTTGTCTTTTAGAAGTCCTGTTCCCAGCAGGCCTTCACGGGATCCAAGATGGTGGAAAAAGCTAAAAGTATTTTTTAGTGTAAACATGGTTAAAGAGCATTTTGGGGAATAACTGTTAATGATGGAAGTTATTGATTGTGGCGTTATTATGAAAAGCCTTATCTATTATCTCAGGACAGTGATAGGAAATAGTATTCTCTAGCCCAGGGGTAGGCAAACTTTTTGATTCGAGGGCCACAATGGGTTCTTAAACTGGACCAGAGGGCCGGAACAAAAGCATGGATAGAGTGTTTGTGTGAACTAATATAAATTCAAAGTAAACATCATTACATAAAAGGGTACGGTCTTTTTTCTTTTTAGTTTTATTCATTTCAAACGGGCCGGATCCGGCCCGCGGGCCGTAGTTTGCCCACGGCTGCTCTAGCCATTCAAATCAGTATCTTTGCCGTAGTTTTTTTTTTAATGCTTAACAAGGCCATTAGTGTCTGATGCAGATGACAAGAGCCTAGTCATCATTGAGGCAGTGATTCATAGTAGGGTCTCGCTGAGGTTTTGTAACTAAGATAATCCAGAAATTGGTAGTGGGTATGCAGTGTCATTCCTTGGCAGGTAGGTAAAATAATACTTAAACATTAAGGTTGTTCTGAAGGATTAAATGACAAAATGTATGCAACATACTTATAGTGCCTTCCAGTTAAGTATTATCTATATACTAGAGGCCCGGTGCACGAAATTTGTGCGGGGGGTGGGGGGAATCCCCTCAGCCCAGTTGCACCCTCTCCTGTCCCCCAAAGGGACATCCCTCTCGCAATCCAGGAGTACTGGCTCCTAATCGCTCACCTGCCTGCCTGTCTGGCCGCCCCCAACTGCACTCCCCTGCTAGCCTGGTCGCCCCTAGCTGCCCCCCTGCCAGCCCGGTCGCCTCTTACTGTCCCCCCCCCCGCTGGTCTGGTCTCCCCCAATTGCCCGCCTTGCCAGCCTAGTTGCCCCACGCAGCTGGCTTGTTCAGTTGTTTGGTCGTCCCTCACTAATCCCCCTGCCAGCCTGGTCGCCTCATGTAGCCTGCTGTTTAGTCGTTTGGTTGTCTCTCACCCCCCTGCCAGCCTGGTTGCCCCCAACGGCACCCCCTGCCAGCCTGGTTGTCCCTCACGGCCCTTCCACTGGCCTGGACGCCCCACGCAAGTTGCCCCTCGCCCCTTCCACTGGCCTGGACGCCCCACGCAACCTGCTGTTCAGTCGTTTGGTCACCCCTCACTAACCTCCCTTGCCAGCCTGGTTGCCCTCAACTGTCCTCCCTGCTGGCCTGGTTGTAGGCAGCCATATTGTGAGGGTGTTATGGTCAATTTGCATATTACCTTTTTATTATATAGGATATAAAAGGCTAAGCAGCCAACCATCCATCCGTCTGACTGATCAGCCAGTACATATGATGCACACTGGCAATCGTATATAATAAAAGGGTAATATGCAAATT